AGCACTTGGATGTGTAGATGCTAGAGTTGCCACCTCGACCCAAAGCCGGGTGAGCCGGGGAGCGTTTCTCCTGCACCTAACTCTTAAGAAGCCTCATAGATACTCACTTGATGACCATGAAGCCGGATCATCCTCTCCCAGGAACCAGCCGCCTTAAAGTAAAAAAAAGTAAAGTGAATAGAGGTTGTGCTATCAATAGACCTGTGTTTATCTAGGTAACTGTGACGCATCATCGTTCACCATTAGTGTGTGCGCGAAGCTATCTGAAACAATTTTGGTCACAGCAGAATGAACAGGCGTTACTGCTTGAAACGGGAAGGAGTGATACTTATCGTTTCACTCAGGATTTCCTGCGGGCCGAAATTGATCCTGTAAGGCACACACAATCCGTTTACCCTGAGTCCCGGGCTCAGAATGGCAATGCCACCCTGGTGGCCTATTTCATCGAATCGTAAATAGCTTGTGCTTATAAATGATCTACAAATGACGCCGGTCGAACAGCACCTAGAAATCTATCTATTCTAAGTGGTTGCAGTTGGCAATATCTGAGATAAAAGATATCAGATAGATCGGCTTGTCCAAGCAAGAACAAATAGTATTAGAACTAAAGACGTCAAGATGGTCTGATTGTTTAACGAATAAGTGCTTTCATGACCTCATGCGTACTGAGAATGTGATGTTTGGGTATTTGGCAGAGTACGCAATAAAGTAGTGTTCAGTAATATAATTGCATTGATCTCGGCCCACATCGAAATTCTGAACCCGATTTCAAATGACTAGTGATTAAATGGAAAACTTATATAATAAGCGGTACATAAATAGATCAACAAAATTTCCCTGGAAACAAACGACCGGTTTTGTGGTTCTTAACGCTTGTCTGGCATGCGTATTTGAGAATCTTTTGTCACCTAATTATGACCCGGGAGCCCTGGATTTGAATCATTCCACCGCCACCCCTCGTCCCCATATCTGTATTTATCCAGGCAGTCTTTGTGTGGCTACAGTCTCATTCCTGAATATTGACTGTACATTTATTTTTATTCAATAAATAACAAAGGCAGTAAAAAGATATAAATATATCACCGGATTGCGAGCAAGCATGATGCCAATGCCACGAATGTCCTCATTCTTTGAGCCCCTACCTGGAAGGTAGCCAAAGCTGAAGCTAGTGTCTTCATATCTCTACGTCATATCATGGTCTGAACGCTGCGACGTTTCTTTCAGCCTTCTCTGGCACGTGCAAAAGAGATCACGGAAAGTTAGATGATGGTTAAGCAAAATCAGCATCTGACCAAGTCATCGAACGCGGTGTAGAGTGATTACTTCTTTGAGAGAAGGATCGGCCACACCTTAATCATCCAATGTTCCCACCAGACAGGCAATATCTCAAAGACATCGGTTCTCAAATACAAAAAGTCCATTATCATCTTCGGCGCGGAAAGCCGCAAGGCAGAACCCTACGAACCGCGGCAATGTGCACCCTTTTGTTAAGGGACAGTCGGATATCATGGCGGTGTCGCAGGTGTCACAGGTTGGCTGCTTTAACTTTCGCTTTTCGTAATGTGATCTCCTCCCCAACACCACCACAAGCTGCGATCAAGCTCCCGAGGTACTTAAAGCTCTCAGCTACTTCCAGCTGATCATTACAGAAGGTGAGTGTAGGCACAGTCTTCTGCCAGTCTTGAACTAGCACTTTGAACTTGGAAGGTGCAAAGCACAGATCATATTTGGATACCTCGATCGCCAAGCGGTTCAAAGTGTCTTGGACTGCCTGTGTATTGTCACCCAGAAAGGCGGTGTCATCAGCATATTCTAATTCAAGAACTCTGTTCTCTGGGAGGGTTTCAACTCCACCGTTTGCTAGACCGAACAAAGCATTCTGTAGAACATCCTCTATGACAAAGTTGAAAAGGAATGGGGATATAAGGCAACTTTATTGAACTCCATTGGAGACGGCGAAGGATGGTGAAAACTGGCCACAGGCCCTAATCCTAAAATAGTGCGGTCCTATTGACAAAGTCGAGTTTTGAGCGGATGTCTTAGAACACAATAATACATCAAACATTTTTCTCTCCAATAAAAGTGAAACAGAAAATCCTATAATATAATGATAATAATAACAATAACATAATGCATGCATAATAATTAACACCGTAATCAAAACGTATATACTCACTGGTTTCAAAATCCATCGCTGACTTGCGCCTTCCTCATCCCACACCTTTTTCAGTGCATCCAAATCGGCCGGTAAACAGAAGGTTTGAGGCATGTAGTTGAAATTCTCCTTGCCGCAACGCATTTGCATGTGAAGCAAATTTTTCCACAGTCGATCTTTTCGACCAAGTTGAAATGAGCATGGCAAATGGTTCACCTGATTGGCGGAATTTCAAATAGAGACATGGACAGACAGAGAGAGAGAGAGGATGAAAGTATTAAATGTGATGCAAAATTTTAGTAATGTTTTGTTCTGGTTGGGACTCGTCAGCAGAGAGCTTATTTTTGTATCCCCGTATCCGGACTCGAACCACAAACTCCAGGAGTGGGACTTCCAACCCTTACCATTAAGTTACACGGTCGACGATCATGACTTTGTGCGAATGATGCAGCCGATTTCGAAGGTGAGTGGTTGGATTAACCCATTCGGTTGCTTTCACAAAAGTTCCTAAATTACATACATACATACATACATACATACATAAATATATGCATATAAAGTTCCTGGTGGATTAGTACCGTTTTATGATCACCGATAGAAGCTAAAGCACCCCTTTTTCTTTGAATAGTGAATGTTTTGATTAGCCAAATCGGTTTTTTACAAGTAACATGAACTGTTGATGATCTTAGCTGTGGGTTTGAAAGCTTCAGAGAAATGTTTTCATCCGTGTTATATACTCTTGCTTAGTTCTTCGATGACTTTATCTATACTCGAACAGTTCTCCTGGTCGGAAATGATTCATTTTTTGCAATGTACTTACCCCTGAGCTAATCCTAACTCGAATGTTCGCGGTTGGGGTCTGGAGAAGGACACAAAAGGTACACATTGCTGATGAGTCCCTTAAACAGGACAAAACAGTTGTCCAGTGAGTGATCTTTTTCGATCATTGCAAAGATTTTCATCGCATTCGAAATGCATTTCACTGGTGGGGAATTAACAATCGCCCAAGTAGTGAAACGCACATATCTAAGATCATCAACGGAGCCAGGTACCCATGAGAAAACCGATTGAACTAATCACCGTATCACACTTTGAGAATAACTATAGTGTTTCGAGAAACGCTGAGCGAAGAGCAGAACGAGAAAAAGAGCATTCCAATGTAACGAGAAAATAGAACGACAAACAATGGGTGACCCAAGAAATAAATAATCGATAATCATGGGAATACAAGCATTGTTCACTGTGGGCGAGCGTTTGGCAAAAAAGTTATGAGCACAGTTATTGAACAGCAATTAAGGTTTTTTTTCTCAGTCAACCTCGATTGGTTTTTAGGGCTTCGTTCTTAGCCTCCTCAATTGATTGGTTTTTGTCTCCTTTTAGATTTTCTTGATGAATTAACAGCCAATCGTTTGATACAATGTTTTCCCAATTAGTACGAAAATATATTCAAATGTTTCAACTGACCTATGTCACAATAGCTCCACCCTAAAATATTGTCGAAATTCGAGAATCATAATCG